AAAAAATAAAAAAGTATGTATTATTTTATTAACAAAAAAGACATTAAGTTACATTCAAACAAGTACAAAAAAATAAGTTCATGAATTTAATTTACATCCAATCAAACATGAACAGTTCAAATAAATTATATTTACATTCAACATTTTCTTCTTCTAAGGCTCTTTGAAGAGAAATTATTCTATGTCAGACTTAGTTCTAAGTCCGTAGGTAAATCAGATGTAGTCATGTTAGTAGTATCGAACAGTACCAACTCACGATACACAACATAAAGATGACATGATTTTATTAGTTTCCATATGGGTGAGTCATGTACTTTATTCATTCTTCTTGAGCATACTTTATTCCCAACAACGCAGCATTACTTCTTTTAATAGGAAAGAAACCAGCATAGCTAACAAAAACATAAAACAAGCCAGTGTGAATGCAATCGCAGTTGCCTCAATTTACGGAGCATCAAATTCCAAATGGCTCCGCATGTGACGGTCGAGATGCTAAAATTAAGAAATGAGGACTCGTTGAAGGAGTGCAGTTAATGAATTAAGTATTTCTTATATATATTTAGATCAATTAAACACAAAACTTCTTAATTGGTTGTAAAAATTCTCAAACAATAAAATAAGAAACATATAGCTCCCGATCATTTATGCTCTTATTATTTTTTATTATATTTTAAAATAAAATAAAAATATATGATATTTAAATATATTTTAATTTTTTATTAAATATTTTGGTGGTAGGAGATAGTGGTAAGTGGTAGGGGTGTTAGTTTTAGGTCACGTGTCAGGTTCGGATCGAACTCGGAACTGACCTTACATTATTCGGGTCAACCCGAACCGACCCTTTTTTTGCAAATTGGTCGGTTTTTTGGACCCGAATCAGACCCGCTTCAGGTTCGAGTCAACCCAGCCTGAAATATAAGTCAAATCCTGTAACTTCAGTTCGGGTTCGAGTTGACCCGAACCCGAAATTTCTAGGTCAGGTTCTGATTAGATTTTTAAACCGTGTCAAATATTGACACCCCTAGCTAGTTGTGATAAATATATCTATATTACTTTTCATTTAAGAAGAATGAAAACATGGAAACATGACTAAAAATTATTTTAAATATTTTTAAAACTAACTTATTTTAAATTTTTTGAAGCAAATATATTATTTAAAAGTAAAAATAAAAAATAATCCCAATGAGCCTCTAAATAAGTGAGTTTTCAATTGGTCCAAAAGAGAATGAGGTAAGCCACCAATCACTCATAAGCCATAATGATGGCAAGGGCTTGTCCTCTGCAAGCACAGCTCACTATCAAATAGGGCGACAATTGATTTTTAAATTCAAAACACATTAAAATATTATTCGGATTTTAATTTACTGTAAAATAAAATTTAGTTAGCTCAGCTCGAAGATAAATTGCTCAAATTTAGCTTGATGAAACTCGAAACTAACTTGACGACATATATACAATAAAATATTTATTAACACACTATATAGACACGCACACACAAGCTTATTTAAAATTATTTGGAATTTAATAAATTTTTAATTTTTATTATACTTTATAAGATTCAAGAAATTTCACTTGATCTGCATAAATCTTGATGCGATGCATTATTCAAATTAAAAGCTTTCAAATTTGAAATCACAATCGTCCGAACTTTGATTTCAACAAATTACTGTCAAATTGAGGGTCTCAATAAGGTGAAGATAATGACATCAAAGGTGATGCAATCAGAGTTCAAATAAATCCAAATTAAGCCCTTGAAATAAAACTATAAACTTAGAATAATTAATTAAAAGATTGAAAAATCTCCAAAATTTAATATGCTTATAAACAAATCAAGTGGCTTGATGAGACAAATCCAACAAACCCAAAATAACTAGATTATGAAGTTATTAAGAGACTTAAATACTAAATGAATATCTATGATTAAAAAATTCAATATGAGTTAATTGATTAAGTGTTATAAAAAAATTTACAACCAAAATGCCACTATTAAAATACTATAATAAGCATTTATTCTTCACTTGAAAGAGGCATGAACTAGGTTTGGAGATCTTGATCTGGAATTCTAAAACTCTACTAGGTTATTAATGTCATCACCACCGCTACTCATCACTGCCACTAACTACCATTATCTGACCATTGTTGCCCAATTGCTAAAACCATTCATCATTATCTGACCATCATCATTTAACTGTCATTATCAGTCAATCATCACCCAAATATCATAATTTAGTCATTGTTATTCGATCATCATCATCCAATTACCGCATCTGTAGCATTCTCCCTAATATTCATAGAAACACAAATGACGTGGAACATTTTAGTTATAATAGAGTATATGGACTAATTTACCTTCTTGTTTATAGAAAATTCTTAGCTTATTTCGAGAAAAAGATAGAAAAAATGTACTCATGTATACTATCTACATAATAGATCATTTTATTCGAGTCATGCTTCATGATTTTTTTCTTTCCAATTTATCAACATAAAATATTTGATATTTATTACATTCTTTTCTATTATTTGTATATGAGTTGGATCTTAACGAAAAACTAAGATATAAAAATATAAAATGTCTCTATATTACCGCGAATTTTTTAGCATTCAATAATACTTATATCCCTTAAAAATTTAACTACAAAATTAATAATATCCGCTTGCAATCGGATCGATGCTGTCCCTTTTATTAAAATATAATAGAACACGGCAGAGCAGCTCTACCCCACCATCACGATGTTGGCTCATAAAATCTTGTGATTTCGTGATTCTTTTCCTGAGGGAGCACATGCTCTCTCGCGCACCTCATTCATTTCTCTTTGAAAAGTGCTAAATCTTGCCACCAACTCCATGTGATTACCTCAGAAGTTTAGATGCCCTTGCGGTTCCCACTTATTTCTAAAATGCCAATTGCTGTAAATCTCCGTGACCTTATAGTCTTTGTGCTAGGCAACAAAAATCATGTGTAGCTGCATATTGGAACTGCCGCCCTGCCATCCGAGCTCGTTCAACAGATTAGGTGAACAGAGCCGCTTTGGTCATATTTGCTTGGCAATAGCTCCCTGACAGTCATAGATTTGTTCCTTCTTGAAGACCGAGTGAGTCAGGTTTGCCATTGAAATGATTCACACATCTACAGCAGCTTGTGGCTCAAAATTCATAAAGCGGATATTGCCACAGTGGGCAGACCATTGAGAGTATTCGTGCCTCTCCTGATCCTGCATTCAAGTCGCTCAACCTGTTAAAAAAAAAAAATTGTATAAACTAGTAAAATAGAAGTATCCATGAAAACTGTCATAAATCTATAACGATTCAATGCTATCAAGAAATTATATAACAGTGCACATGTTGTTCAGTTATTTTATATCAATCTTAAATAAGTATTTTAATCGCATGCTCAATAATAGTAAACTATTGACATTAAATTAGTAACAATGAAGCAGGAATAATAAATTGCTAACAATAAATCAATGCCTTATATATATGTCCAAGCATTTATATTAAACAAGCAAGAGTTTTTGGTTTGTCTGGTATTTTTTCAATAACTATTTTTAGATTAATAGTTTGGTGGCTTTTAGTAATTGATGTGGTGGATCGGCGGAAGTCGATACCTGCAAGAAGGATTTGAAAACTCCCAATCCAGGGAAGAAGAAGAAGAAAGCTTTTCAAGCTTCAAAAGGTGTATATATCATTCAATGATCCCTCTCTTACAATAGCTTGTATATTTATAGGGTAAAAGGAGTATTCTAGAAACTAGTGGTAACAAACTAAGATAAAGTAATCCTAAGGACAATATAACTAAAGATGTTCCTACATCATTCTCCCCTTGCGCAAAAAGAGCTCGACTCCGTCGAGACGCATTATTGACAAAGAAGTTGCAGAAGACAGATTCCTGGATCGAAGATTTCGTTCTCATTATTTCCGAAATGAGCGACTTTCCTTTCCATTGAAGCCTTTGAAGTGGGTTCGTACCACATAACGTCGAATGACATCCCAATTGAACCCTTCTGTACTGCCTTATATTTTCTCTTATATATGTTGACATCAGTAGCATGTGTTAGGAGGATATTGTGGGCAACAATATAAGGTTCAGTCCTTGAATTCCCTCCTCTACAGAGGAGGTGAAGGAGAATGGAGCAGTGTCCAAGGGCTTGGAGTCCAACATCATAGCCTTGGATTGCCAAAGTGTGACGTTCATTGAAGGTTATCCAGTCTTTAACCCTGTCTCCGAATGCATTGAAGCATGTATCGGCATAAGCTGCAAAATCATTTATTGTTTGGGTACTAAGCCATCCGCTGCATCTGTCTTCCAAGGCTTGAGGAAGGTCCGAGTGGAAAAGTGTAACATATGGTTTGATTCCTTTAGCTAGCAGTGCATCTATCAATTTGTTGTAATGGTCAATCACTGCTTGATTAACTTGCCCAATTCCATTTGAAAAAATACGGGACCAAATAAATGAAAACCTATAAGCATCCATTCCAATATCAGCCAAGAGCTGCACATCTTCCTCGTATCTGTGATACTGATCAACAGCAACATCAGCATTGCTAAAATCTAGCACCTTTCCAAAGGAATGGGAAAACTTATCCCAAACCATAGTATTTAAAAGAAAATATATGTCCACCATCCTATGCAGATATAACAGTCTCTAGCCAACTTCAGTAATAAACCAGCTCTAGCCAACTTCAGTAATAAACTAGTCTTTCTTATTCTTACACACATAATATTAAACATAATAATGACCAGTTATTTCTCATTCACATACATGTATTCATTCACAATGCTTATTTCATCAATATAATTATATCAAAAAAAAAAAAAAAGTATATCTAACTCCTATTCAAATAGTATAAAATATAATAGCTAATGTTTTAATCGGTGAAAATATAAAATCATCTAGTCAAAACGACAATAACATTCAATACTATAATATATCAAAAGCTGTACAATAGAAGTTCATTAAAAATATAAAAATGCAATAAATATCGATTTAAACAGATGGATAAATCCTAAAATCAAAATATTTGAAAATAAAGAGATCGAGGATAGAGGCCTCCTACAATGATCGGAATAATTTTAGTAAAAACGGTGAAAAGAACAGACAACCAATAGCATGCTTTCCTCTTTTCTCTTTCCCCTTCCCTTCTCCTCCTTTCTTTCCTTTCTCAGCAGCCAAATGAAAGAGAGGGGGAGAATGGATGAGTGGAGAATTTTATATTAAAAATATTTTTCAATGCTTAAAGTCACAACTCTCCAACTCGGTGTCATGGCGCCACTACTTCGAATTATTACACCCCAACACTGCACTACCCTAGAGCGTGACACTCAAAATCTTTGTGTCGTATTGCAGCAATTTGAAGATTTTGAACTTTTCAAATATATTCATTTAAGATTATTACATAACATCTCTCTCTTATCCTTCCTACTCTTAAGATTAATCCATATCTCTAGTGAGGTATTGATATTTTATTCATGGGCAACATAGATCCAACGTCTTCTAAGATATAATGAGCATAAATAATGCCTACGATAAAGAATTAAATCATAGAACATCTTAAAGATAGGTCATTATTGCACAATAAGTAAAGAAATGCTCATGTGACTTCTTAGTAGTTGTAGAACATGAGGGATCATCTTAGGAAGAAATTCAAGGGGATCTTTAAATACTTTCAACAAGTCACTCATCTAGCTCACCACTTGAGAGCGCTAATATGTCATCTTGCTTAGGCATTGATGTTGCCCTAACCTAATATGCTATTTAGCTTTTCAAAACAATGAAATATATCTCCCTAAAGAGAGAATCATTGAGACTCTTCTTGCTCATCATCAAGAAAAGCATCATACTGATCTTACAAACACCTTCTCAATTCAAATCATGGAGGCTCAGTAACGACCAAAATTATAGATATGTGTGGATCTCCGAAAGGGTTCCACTCGTGTGGTTCGAATGCAAAGGGTACGATCACACTATCCCGTAGGACAAAATGGTCGTATGCCTTTACACTCGGAAGTCAAATCTAACTATTCAAGTTGATGATATTACCTTTCTCCTCCACATTGTTAAAGAATGCGCTTGAGTCAACAAATATGGTACTAGGGATATGAAAATCTGTACATAAAAAATCATAATAACTCAATTAACTTGAAAAATAACTAAATCAAAATTAAAAAAAAATAATTGAAATTTACATAAATTCTTATTTATGGACTAAGATTGATGAATATTAGAGTGTCGCCTTGATAATTTCTGTAAAGAGTGTAATTTGTAATTAAGTACATAATCTTACAACTCCACAAACAACTGGTTGTCATTGATAGAGGAATTTGATAGAGTTAATTTTTCTATTGTTATCTTAGTAAGTCTTTTTTGATAAGCTATCGTTGTTCAACTTCTCTAAAAAAATTATTCTTCTAACTCATCACCTTATTCTCAAAACCCTCCATCTTAATCTATTTCGAAGAAAAAATTGATGCATTCCCTTAAATCCCTTATTGCAACCATGTTTTAAAAGTTGATATGAAGTTCCACTTTACTCTTGCTAACAGTGGAAGTTGGCAAGAAAATTCAATATCACTTTAAATGAGATCAAATAAAAATTTTAAAAATTAATTCAAAGAGTGCAAAAGATGCACTACCTTTGACTTGACCAAATATTGACTTCACACTCCATAGCTGACTTAATTAAAAAAAAAAAAAAAAACTTCTTGGTCAAAAGCTAACATCACCATCTAAGGACAGCTTCAAAAATACATGACTTCTGACTTCCAAACAAAGCTACGATTTTAAAGTGAAGAAGCACCTGTTTTTCCCAAAGGCAAACTTCGTAATGAATTCTAACCTCACAAGTATGAGTCATGTACATAAATAGAATAATCAGGAGTAAGATATAAACTTAGTTTGCAAGACGTTTCATCTATGCAAAACATAGAAAGCTCAAAAGCAATATTATATCAAGAGAACTATGACTGAGGTGCATGTAGTAATATCTTGAAAATAAACTACAAATCTCACATTTGTAAACATTGACATTGATGTTTCAACTAGATTTTTTTTTAACCAAAACAAAATATATATTCATAGTAAAAGATACACCACAAGACCACAGCAGGGTCACATCAGGAGAATTACAATCGGGGAAATACAAAAAGCAATAGGTTAAAAATAATCTGAGGGAAACACAGACCAAACCAGAAATAATAGGACTCAGACCGACACCTAGTTTTCAGGGAGGGGCCATCCAAGGAGGACCAAATAAACTGCCAGGAAACCAAGCCGACAAGAAACCAAACACACTGAGCCACCAAGGTTGCCAACCAAACCCTAGCCATTCAAGGCGCATGCAGTAAAACTGTTTCATCATAGTCCTGTTCCAAATCCATTTCAGCAAAACAACCAAAGCAACACCACAACCACAAAACTTCCAAAAGGGAAATTAATGTCTTCTTAGATTTCCATTTATGATGCCTAACGTAATTATTGAGCGAGCAAGTTTCCAAATTGCTTTTAATAATATCCTCCCCTCTAGCAGACGACATGTCATCATGTAACCAATCACATTGCCATCGAACACTATCTCTAGCAAAATGGGCTAACATATTAGCATTCGAGATAAAAGAAATAGGCACTTCCACCAGAGGCACCATGCCTCCTGCCTCCCCTAAATCAGCCAAGGATTCATCACCACAATCAACTAAAGAGACAGAATTATCATCTAACAACTCCGCACCATCAGCATAAAAGACTAGCTCAAAGATTCACACAACAATTAATATCATTCAAGGCCACTCGTTAAGGAGCCACAGTCAGAGAAATCTCACCCTCAATAGCACCATAAACCATCAATCCACCATTAACAACTAGTGAGTTACTAGAGCAAGCCGCAGCATAAGAAACAGGGGCTGCAGGGGAGAGGATTGAGCTAGACGGATTGGAAACAAAAATCGTGCCGACCAAACTAGAGATAGGATTAGGATTTAAGCAAACTCCATCAGCACCAACAACATCAGCACCAATAGAATTAACGAGCAAGGAAGTAGAAGACATAGCCACACGACTCTCGTTGATATTAATTGGATTCAAAGGCAGTAAATCAACAAGAGACGACCCAACCATGTTGGGACTAGGATTGGTAAGATCATTATCACCTAAAATCCCACCAGCCACCGGAATCTTAATTTCCTCATTAAATCGTAAAACATGTTTAGAAATAGAAGAAGCAACAACCATGCCAATATCAAGTGAAGGCCGACAATCACCAAAAGAATGACAAAGATGCTTACATTTAGCATAAAAGAGAGGAAAATTCTCCATAATAACTTATTGAAAATACCCTAATTTCTCCGAACCTAGCCAAATTTTGTCCAAAATTTTTTGAGTAATATCGATTTCCACCAACACACGGGCGAGACCCCAACATAGTGGCGTTATCCACTTTCAGAGGATTACCAAAGAGAAGCCCCAAACCATGCAATATACGAGGGGAAAAAAATAAGGCCGCAAATTAGGGAATGAAATCCAGATTGGGATAATGGGAGACTCATCACCAATGTCATCAAAAGGAGACCATTTGGTCACCTTCATGAAGCAATTGAAAACCAAATAAGACTTATGACAAAATATCCTATTATAGTCAAGATCATTCTCCAGCTTAATGAGCACATGAGATTGATCCAACTAGGTAACAGAGAAAACACCATTTAACCTAAGGTTGAAAAAAAAATTCGTATTAAAGCGAGAGAAGGTAGCCCCAAAGGAAAGAAGCCAACAAACGAAAATTTAAAAGGTTCGGCTAGAGCATAAAATTCCTCTTCTGAAAGCAACAGAGCAAGAACTCCACGAAAAGAAGACCGTTTAAGGCCGGGAAATCTATCTGGAATAGAAGATCTAGATAAAACTTTCAAGAATGAATGGGACTTAGTTGATCCATCAAAGAAATCAGGATCGGCCTATCAAAAAAGTTCTACTAGTTCAAATACTATAGAAAATGTCAATAATAAAAATATTCATCTTTAACCTTTATTTATAAGAATCCATAGGCTACAAAAAATATTACATCAAAATGACTTCTAATATAGACTTATTTAGCTTGATGAATGACTTCATCTCCTATTTTTAGTACTAAGCAAAAAAAAAAATTATATATATAAATATGGGATTCGAGCCCAGGTGAGATTAGCGGAATTTCTTCCGTCAACCACTCGGCCCTAGATCCGATCTCTACTAACCAAATAGACGAGGGCAAATCTGCTGAGTGTTATTCTTTGCCATATATAGAGTCCAACTAATTTGAAAATGTATTTATTAGTTCACTTTATATTTCTTATGCAATTGAATCTTTTAAAATTAATAAAATGTACATCAAATATCTATTAGTTGGTCATAAGCATCAAATATCAATTCAAATTTCCACTTTTCCTAAACATTCAACAATGTATATGGCCAGTTACATAATTTTAAAATTAAAAATTATAGCACTTTCACTAATATAAATGAATCCAAATTAAATTTTATGTAAATTTTTGTAGGAGTTAAGTTCACTCTTTTTACGGTTATGCCACTGGTTTCCCAATTTATTACCCTTCTGACAACTTCTTGTTCGACTTGTAATTTGCAGAGTGTGGGTACGATCTGTGTAGTTTTGACCATGACTTCCATTATGTCGTGTAGGGTTTTGGTTTAGAGCCTCAACTTGCTTGCACGATTAGCGCTAGTTAAGTCAGTGTAGACCTTTGAGGAACTCTTACAGAAGAATCTAATCAACATAGAAGACAGAGCGTCGTTATTTTAGAAAATATACACACAAATTAGATAAAGAAGAACAGGATGAATGTCATTGCAAATGACTGATTATTTTATCAATAAATGAGAAACTTGCAATACTATTTTTATCTCAGAAAAAAAAAAAATATATGAGGATATTATAATTAAATTTTGATTAAGATAAGATTTAAAATTTATCTTATACATTACATTTATTTGGAAATAACTTTAAAATTTTAAATTTATTTTAACTTAATTTTTTTTCTCCCTTTACTTATCTGGAAAGTCAAGCATGATTTTTTTAATAAATGTAAACTTTTCACTTTCACTTTTAGGGGCTCTTTAGTTGGCTGTAAAATTAATATAGTATATAATAAATGCAATTCAAAATAAATATATTGTAAAATAAGTATTTTGAGGCTATTTAGTTGTTTATAAAATAAATATAGCAGAACTTTTTTTTTTTTAATTGGATGTATGCGTAATAAAGTAAACTCAGAGTAAAGGAAAAAAAAATGATTTCAACAAAAGAAGATTGCTTATAAATCTCTAATATATTATAAACATCATTTTTACAGTAAAAAAAAAAAAGTTTGAAGTTCTGTATTTCTAAATTATCCAATCTCAGTGCAATGCCGATGAACATTAGCAAATCAAAGCTTCCACATTAGCAAATCAAAGCTAAGATCATATTAGAGCAGTACGAGATCCTAAAGTTTTGTAAATTTACGGGATTTGACTGGAGAAGCACGCAAAAGGGAGAAAGAAAGTTACCTTCAATGCGAGCGAGCTCCCGTAAGATGTCGTACCTTCCGATCTGACAGGAAGGGAACGTCGTCAAGGAGTGAAGTCGAATAGCTAGAAAGAGCCAAAGAAGCTATTGGTACCGAAGTCTACGACGACGACGGAGGAAGAAACAATGATGGGTGTCCAGCGGGATTTAGCAGAAGAAACAATATTGGTCCTGCGACAATGTAGGAAGAACGATGATGGGTTCCCATGGGCTTCTCTTGCTCGCCCACAAGAATTTCTTTCTCGCCGATTTTAAGCGGGGCTTACTTAACGCGCGAAAAAATGAACAAAGGTAGGAGTTAGGAATACATTGAGAATTTACTTTATTTTTGTGGCCAACCAAACACCACAGAGTTAAAAAGCAAAGCATTTATTATGCGTTGCATTTATTTTTTTTTAGTCCAACCAAATATCCCCTTATAGAGAGTAAAGAGAAAAGAGAATATATATTGAAACTGAGGGGGTAGATAGTGTAATTCCTTCGAAAAACGAGGGCTTTTTATGAGAGATCTGATTAACTAATACTTTATTGCTCTTTTTCAAGTCCCCAAATCCCATATATTTATATGCACCTGTTGCTTGCCCACCTTCTCATCTTCTCCATTTTTACCCCATTCATCTCTCTAAACTCTGCCTTGTTCCTCATCCAGCTCTTCAGCAGCAATGGCCATTGAAGCTAAGTTCCTTATTTTCTTCGTTGTAGCTCTCCTTGCCTTGTTGATGGCCGAATCCAACTCTCTGGTGAGTATCATCGACCACATTAGGCTTTTTACTAAAACAAAATTAGGATTTTGATGCATAATAGTGCGCTTTCTGATAAATCGGCCATTACCTTCTCTTACTTCGAAGGTTTGGACTAATGAGGCAAACGATGCTGCAGACCAATATTTTCCAAACAAGGTACAGTACTTTATATTTTAAAGAGCAATAATGCTCATGAGGACTTGTCGTGCCATCTGCAGCTACTGAATATTTATTTCTTCCTCTTCTATGGCTAATAGGCAAACAATGGACAAGGCAGTCTGAGGAGCTACCGTGAGTAACCCATCGAACTATCTTTTATTTGTTTTTTTTTTTTTTAATTTTCACTTGTTCATTTTTAAACTATAAAAGAAACAAATCAAAACCTCAAAAATATCATTTCAGGAGTGGTTTTTCTGTTATAGCAGAATTTCAATGTTGTTAAGTTAATCTACAAGCTCCTTATTTGGTTTGTAAAGTGGAGAAATTTAGGTTAGGGCTTTGTTTGGGGAGTTTTTATTGCTCCTCTTAAAGCAATATTTTAATACAAAAAATTACTTTAAGAAGTAGTCTGTTCCAAACGAAACCAAAGACTAAGATTTCATTTGGAACGAATTTATTACTATTTCTTTAAGCAACTTTCTAGCACAAAAATTTTTTATTTTTGTATTAGAAAGCTGCTTTAAGAAGCAATAAAAAAGCTGTCACAAATGAAATTTAAAATTGGGAAGTTTTTTAGTTTTTATTATTCATAAAGATGAGTTTTAAAATTCTTAAATTTATTTTAAAATATGTATAATATATGAATAACCAAATAATTATTATATTATAGGATATTCTCAGCTAATTTTTTTCTTATGAATTTGTGAGCAATATCTCATCAATTTTTTTCAACTTCAGATTTTCTTACTGCCAATTTTGGAAGATTATAATCTGTAAAAAGTACAAGTAAAGATTTACATTACAATTTTTTGTTAGTGATACTAATTAAATATCTTAAGCATTATCATTAAGTTTAGGGTTATAATACATTCTTAATGTGGAATTTGAATTATAAATTTATAAACTTCATGAAAAGACATCTCACTCTAATCTTCCAGGTACATTTATTAAGAACCTATCATAAAAACCTGAAGCCCCTTTCTTTTTTTAGGCTTCGTTTGGGATGGCTTTTTTACCCTTAAAATTTTTGAATTATAAATCTGCTTTAAGAAACAGGAAGAAGAAGTCTTACTTTGATGAATGCTCTCTATATATAAAACAATTTAAAACTAGAGCTGTTTCACCTCATGCTGAGACATTCTGCCATTTGTTCCAGAATGCCCCTCTCAGTGCAACAGGAGATGCTCGCAGACTCAATACAAGAAACCATGCCTCTTCTTTTGCAACAAGTGCTGCAGCAAGTGCCTATGTGTGCCTCCAGGATATTATGGCAACAAGGGGATCTGTCCCTGCTACAACAACTGGAAGACCAAGAGGGGTGGCCCAAAATGCCCCTAACTTCATCAAAATTCTATCCTAATTACCCACTTCTTATCTGACCTTTTGTTTGATTTATCTTCCTATTTTTAAGCACGATATGTACTACTTCCCTTAAATGCCCAACCAAACCTTAGCGCTTTTACTACGAGAAAATGTTTGGTGGGAGGCATTTCAAACTTGTTAGAATTGTGTTCTGTGGGACATGGAGATTTGTTTCCAATTTTATCTTTATCATGGCTAATATCATTCTATTCTTATTCGTGGTCCCTAATCCTTATCACTGTATTGGAATGGGAAAGATCAGTTCTTTCTTTGCAATGGAGAAAAACTTTTGTTTCTTCAAATGTGACTAGTATTTCCATGAGCAGAAAGTAAGTTTAAATTGTACGAAATCCAAAGTGACTTGATTAAACAAAATTGGCAGGTCATGGGCGATATAATATTGAATAATACCTGCAACATCAAGCTTTACCGATGCTCTCTGCTCGGCATCTTCTCATTCAAAGCTGTTGCTGGTTCTTGGAGAGAAATTTCAGATTGGTGATTACAGTGAATATATGTTAAAATCAACAAGAAGAAACATAACACATAAATTAATGTGATCCTGGAGATAAAGGCATAGCTTTGTTTCGAGGAGAAATTATTAGGTGTGGAATTTGGAGGTCAATAAAATATTTTTCATGTGGAGTTGACATCTGGATATTCAATTGAATTTATTTTTTACTTTATATATTTAATATGTCAGTAAAACTATAAGCCAAATGCATCGATAGCACAGTCAAAGTGGAGGAAAAACGCTGTCAAAACATAATAAAAAAACGAATTTAGAACGCAAGTATAAATAAAGCACAAGTAAAACACACAAAAAATATGCAATCAAAGTGTATTCCATATGTTAAATTTTAAGTGAATGTCTGGACGGATCTCTACTTCTAGACTTCGGACCTAATAATTTCTCTATTTCTAGAGCCATTCCAAAATGTGGGACAAAATTAGGCCAAAGCTAATACAGATGTGAAAGCACAAGCTTTCTCAAGAAGCTTACAGTCTGTTTGTGGCAGCTTTTGCAATACTTCACTGCATCATATTTTTATCAGGCTATTGCTCTTTTTATTCTTGTTTAAAAAAAAAATATGATGAGAAATAATTTTTACAATTACCCATACAAAAGTTATTGCCCTCTTTTTTTTTTTAAGAAAAAAAGGTTAATGATACCCATAACATATTTCAAAAAAAAAAATCGTAACAATTTAATAGTTTTTTTAACTAACAATTGGAGCCGCCTCAAATGGATCTTTATATGCAAATATATCCTTAATCTGTTGACCGATTTGAATTGCTAAACTGCATGAATATTGTGCTCTTTGAAAGATGATTCCCACTACTCAGCCCAAACCATAAAAAAGCCTCCATTGCTCATTGTTTCAATCTGAAAAAAGGCTGGGGTGAAAAGCAGTTCTTAGGCAAATGGATCAGTCAGATTTTTAGATAAAATCACCAATAATCTCCACATGAACAGGACCCATCACTGAAATGATGAAACCTATGAGAGTCCCTAACGATAATTTTCCTTCCAGCTACTTTTGAAATAAATTTGATAGCTTCATGGCAATCGCCACATACTCTGAGATTCTTTTGAATCCAAATGTCGCATTCAGGATCCAACTTCAATATTCCAAAAACTATAGCGAGTTTCTCGCTGTGCATATACAGAGCTTCTTCCTTGGTTTCCTCTTCCACGTCATGCAATGCAAAACTAAGGTTTGGCACATAACCCATTTCTTTAATTCTCTTCATCAATCTATCTAACTCTTTATATATCAAATCTGAATCTGGATTCGACCGATCCCCAACTAAAAATTTGTAAAATTTACCCTTCAACTCTATAACAGTATACCCCAATGTTTTCTTTACTCCTCGCCTCCTCATTAGAGTTCGGATGCTATTCGCTTCTTCAATCTTGCCCAAGGAAGTGTACACATTAGACAAAAGAATGTATCGTCCCGAATTCTTAGAGTCCAGCTCAAACAGTAATTTTGCAGCTAGTTCTGCAATTTCTAAGTCTGGATGAATTCGACAAGCACCTAGTAATGAACCCCACACACTAGAATTCGGATCTATTGGCATTCTCTCAATGAACTCTCGTGCTTCCTTTAGCTTTCCAGCGCGTCCAAGAAGATCAACCATGCAGGCAAAATGCTCAGCTCTGGGGGTGATTCCGAAGTCCATAGCCATGGAGTTAAAGCATTGCCATCCCTCTTCAATCAATCCAGCATGGCTACAAGCTGAAAGCACTGAAACAAACACAATATGATCCGGTCTCATGCGATGCTTCATTTGATCAAAAAGTTGAATTGATTCTTTTCCAAAACCATGCATTCCATACCCAGAAATCATGGTGCTCCACGTAACCACACTCCTATCCTGCATTCTATCAAACACCTTACGTGCATATTGGAGTCTTCCACGCTTCACATAAAGATCAATCAAAGCAGTAGTAACCATCACGTTATGCTGATAGAAGCCTCGAACCACAAAAGCATGAATAAGTTGTGCGTGTCGAACAGAAGCCATTGTTGAATTCGTGCAAGCGCGAATCAGGCCAAGAACAATAACATGATCAGGAACAAATCCCATAACCTTCATATCCCTCCACAGATTCAAAGCTTTAGGAAACATGTCGGCCTGTGCATAAGCCTCGATCATCGAGCTCCAAGAAACCAAATCCTTGTTAATAATCCCGTCAAACAATCTCCTAGAAAACCCAACTCTCCCACACCTTGAATACATCACAATCATGGCGTTCAGAACCACAGTGTCCGAATCAAGACCCATTCTTACTATAACCCTATACAAATCGTCTGCATCATCGCCCCTGTTAATACAAGGCATCACTCTTAGAAAAGTGGGTCTATTTGGTCTAACCCTTTCTATCATACGACGAAATAGGGATAACGCTTCTTCATGACGCTCGTTATCAGCATATGCGCCGATCATTGCACTCCAGGTGACTACGTTTCGTTCAGGCAATTCATCGAACAGTTTCTTTGCGGTGCTCAAATCACCGCACCTCCCGTACATGGAAATGAGGGAGTTGGAAACGAAAAGGTTTGAGGCTAAACCGAGCTCGGTGGCGTTGCGGTGGATCCGCGTGCCCTCCACGAGGTCGCCGAGGTGGGCGCAGGACTTGAGGACGGGGGGGAAGGTGAAGTTGTCAGGTAGGACGCCGGAAGAAGGGGAGCTCATGCGACGGTATAGATTGAGTACACCAGCGTGGTTCCCTTCATCAACCAGGCGACGAATGGCGGCGTTCCAGATTGAGGAGTCAGAGGGAGGAGAAGATGAGGAGAGTAGAGCAAGGGCATCTGGAACAGGGAAATCGACGGTGTGCAGGCGGAAGCGGGAGGCCAAGGACGCCGACGGTGACGGCAGATAGCGACCGCATTGGCGGGGAGAGCGGAGGCTTTGCAGTATGGCATTTAGCATTGTTTACTTCAGAATGAGTTTGGTCCATCTTTAACGGTCCGCAAAAAAAAAAAAAAAAAAAACGGTCCGAATTAACTGGATTTGTTTTTTTTTTTTTGGATTAAAACGTCTAATTTTATAATTCACCTTAAAATCAATGTTTTAGTTTTATTGGATTGTTCCAAGTCATTTTTTTATCTGTAGTTCATCACATTCACGTCTTGGAATAGGGTTATTCAGCATTCATTTGAACATTTTCTTTCATATATCATATCATTTTTAACGAATAAAATTGATTATAAAATTGTTGTAGATAAAATAAATTCATTATTATGATTGCTAATAGTAGCTTTCCACAACAAAAATATTTAAAAAATAATGAAAAAGTAATGACGAAATGAAATTGTAATTATATAATTGAGCTCAATGTGTTAAATATCATTATGTAATACAACTGAGACCTCTTCTAACACATGTTCTTTAAGTGTGTTTAGCTGCAAATATTTGTCCATATATTTATGATCATATGATCAATTATGTTGTGTTCAATACTCAATACTTCTGACAATAAAGTATTTTAATTCATATGTTTGTTGCCACTATTTTTTTTTTTTGAGAAAAAAATTAGTCCTATAAAATTATCATAATAAATTTTCAACCACTTAATAATATTGTTGACAGCTCTTATATCCTGAAATAACTTCTTTTGCATCTATAATGCATGAATTATGACTTTAGAACATGGACTCCAATAAAATATTAACACAGGAATATTCAATTAGATTTATTTTTTATTTTATATATTTAATGTGTCAGTGAAACCTTAAGTCAAGCGCATCAAAAATATAGCTAAAGCGTATGTAAAGCACAAATAAAGCATAGTTAAAGCACAATAAAACATATAACAAAAAAATAATCAAATCGCAGGTAAAACACACGAAAAAAGTAAAACTAAAGTGCACTCAAAATATCAAATTTTAAATGGATGTTTGGACATTGGACTCCACACCTAATAATTTCTCTTAGAACATGACATAATATGAATTTGGTTTATTTTATTTTTATAAATTTTAAATGAAAATTGAATGAAACAAATATATCACTTTTGGCTAAATTTTAAATTTAAACTAAAATCAATTCGTTTAGCCTATTTGATTTAAAAAAAAAATTATTATTTCTTAATTTTTTTATTTTTTCGTTCGGGATGAAACAACCCGCCTACGCCGCCTCTACTTCTGAGTTCTGCCCAGCGGTGGTTAGAAAACCCTTGCTTCGCGGCTCTTCTCCATCGCTTCTTTCTGTCTTCATCACGCTGCTCGTAGCTGACTGGAGTTAGGGTTTGGTGTTTTTGCCATGATGCCATCGGAAGGAATGAAGATGCCGAAAAAGAAGAAGGCTAAGGTGGAGGGGAGTGGTGGGGAAGGCTCTGGCTCTGGCCACGTTGATGAAGAATTTGTGCGCTCAATTAGGAAAATAAAATATATACAAACGGAGCTCCAGAAGGTGCTACTATTCCAATTTCTGCCAAATACGCCACTTCTTCCTTTCTTTCTTTTTCTTTATTTCTTTCTTTTTTTGACTTTTGCTGGGAGTTTGAGTTTGATTATCCGATTGCATTTCTTTGAAAAGTTAGAATTCATTTCTCTTTGGCGGATGGCTTTGCATTAAATGTTTGGTGTTGATATTCCACCATTGAATTCATCGCTTGATACTACATTGTTCTTGTAAAGAAAGTTTAGCATTTATTTCTGTTCGGTGCTTCAGTTTGTGGAATCTTAGAGATACGGTGAAAACGTCCATGAACTGTATGTGTATTTAATTTCAATCTTTTTAAAATTTAATATGATGAATATGTAATCTTAATATTTCGGATGTTATTAATGTTGTTTCTGCTTCAATTTGCTTTTGTACAACTTTCGCTAATGGTAATAATTTGTGCACTTATTCGTTTGGCCTTGTCTCCATCCTATCAAGAATTCACTACGGAGCGACTTATGAATTTTTTTCTTCTCCTCAGTTGGATCTAGTTAGATTAACACATGCGCTGACGCACAAAATGTGCATGCATTCATTGTTTGTGTTTCTGTGGTTTCAATGTGTGCTTCTGATTGTAAGCGTCTTTTCATGTGTGCATTCATCTGCACTTTATATATGTACTTGATGAGGACATCGAAGATCAACGGCCACGATCGTGTCTATTCATTTTGATGTATTTGATTTGTTATTTGTACTTTTCCCTTTCTACCCTCACTGGAGGGCTTTGTCTTATGTTTGCCCTAGGGGCAATTGTGTCCTTTATTTTCCTTCATGTATTTGGCTATTTAAGCCTTCCCCTTCCTCTTGGAAAGGGATGATGATTAATATGAAATTTTCAGCTTGTGCTTATGGATCTCTTTGTGAGTTCTAAGTTTTCTCTCTTGGGATGATCTCTTAGTGAGTTCGTGAGAGGAGAGGCCCAAGTGGGGCAAAAGCAATACCCGTCAATCTTGGTGGATTCCAAGGTTCGCGGTTCGCTTATCTTTCTTGTTCTTTTATTTTCTTCTTGCATCGAATTCCCTCCTCCACCCAACACATCTTCTAGCTCCACCGCCTAAATCCCACCCACCTACCTTACAACAATCCGCCACCTAGCCTCCCCCTTTTCCCTTTGTCGCCGCCCCCCCTCATAATTCCCCCCTCATTATGATTATTTCAATCATCATAATGACTTCGTAATTTAGCTCAAGAATGAGAGGGAAAATTTGAATTCATTTAAAATTCAAATTCGAATTTCAAATTCTTTCCATATATGGAATCCCAAATTATGAAAGTATCAATCATGAATTCAATTTCAAAATAAATTAAATTAGATTTATTAGTCCCTTTCCTCAATTTGAAATTTGAAATTCAAATTTCAAAAATTTTCCTTATTTGCAAATCTAAATTAGGAAAGTGCATAACTCCAAGTCTATTTGAATTTCAAATTAGATTTGAGTTATCATTATCTTTCCTAAATGACATAAATTGTTTTGGAAGTTACAAATCCTCTCCCCTGTCCAGATTTCTGGACGGATTCTATATTCTGTCTAGAACTTTTCCATTCTCAACACTGCTGTCCAGAACTCCAGAGATTGGGAAAGTTGCTGTCCAAGTTACCGGGATCGCTGTCCAGGGAAGTTCTGCACTTTTCCATTGCTGTCCAACCAGCCCAACTGCTGTCCAGCCCTCCTGGAGTCCACGCCCTGCTGGCCGATGACTCCCAATCCCTCCTAGGAGCTGTTCAGGCTTGTGAAAGGATTCTGATTGCTATCCCACTGCAGAAACAGCCATCATCGACACCAAAGCTTCGTGTCTTATGTTTCATGTAGGTAAACTCTTCCACCCAACTCTCTTATCTTCCTAGTTCGCTTATCACTTGTGGTTATATGTTGATTCACAAAATATCATGCTATTTCTTCCCCGCTAAAGCTTAGATAACTAGAGAGTTGAGTGAGGGACTCGTGCATGGTGCCTAATCTCATTGTTAATTTAGGATTTACGTTGAACCATTAATGTATGCAATGTTAGATTAACTTGATTGTTTTCTGATCCTAACTCTTACGCGTGTGATTCAGCCTAAGCTTATTTTACAGCTCTTAGTGTTTTTTTTTTGTCGTTAGAAAATTAATTGTGAATGTATGATTATTATGGCTTCTAACACTTAAGCGTGCAAACTCTTCAAGTAATTCAACTTTGCATGATCGTTTTACATCAGTACTAGTCATAAAGGTAAACTATTATGAATTTATCCATTACAAATTTGGTATTCCCCAAATGTGTTTCTCTTCCAGCAAATTTTTTTTTTTGCACGCCATTCTCTTGCCTTTGTAGCAAAAGTGTAATTGTTATTATTTCATTTGAACATGCTATTGATGGGGACATCAGATTTCGACACATGTACCATCGCCGACGGCGCAGATCGACGGCTACGATCCAGAGCCTCTACTTTTGAGTTTATAGCTTTTGTCATTTTTTTTATTAGTTTTTCCGAGTTTGCCCCTGAGGGCATTGCTTGACTTATGTAGCCCCGAGGGCATTGTTGTCTTTTCTTTTCTTTCATTTGGAGCCTCCATATATGAGGCAATATGCATTGTAATTTTTTTTAGTTTTTGATGAAATGAAAAATATTCTCTTTTGTTCTCTTTGTGAGTGCACCTCCTTTTGATCTCTTAGTGAGTTCAAGGGGAGAACTAGATCTCTTCGTGAGTTCTAGAATTAATCCCAGATCATTGTGTGGAGGAATAGTTGGAAGAAATTCAAAGTGAGGGAAATCAAGACCAAAGAAATCTGCAGTTTTCTCCAACCAGGCCACCACCTCCAGCAGCCCCTCTCGCCCCTTGCAAGGTCGACTTCCGCCGGCCACAGCTCCGCCCACCCCTGGCCAACGTCCCGCCGGCCACAGGCCTTCCACCCGCCGGCCAGCACCCTGCCACCCAGCCCGTGGACCCCTCCCGCCGGCCTATGGAATTTTGGGATTTGAATTTCAAATCCCTCAAGAGCTTTGATTACTTTCCTTATCTGCTTCCTAAAATCTAGCCGAGGGATTCAATTGAATTTAATTCAATTCAAACGGTTGTCCAAATCTCCTCAAATTAAAGGAAAGTTTCCTTTTTTTTTCTCTCTGGAATCTGTTTTATTACAGATTTATTTTCAAAATCTGCTAGCTAATATTTGGTCCCCACTTTCTTAATTCCTCTCCCCTCCCTCCTCTAGTCAGCCGACCCCATCAGGGAGCTTTCTCTCTCCCAATTAAGCTTTAATTCCTCCATAAAACCAGCCCTTGAATTCCTCCTTCATAACCGCCCATCCCCTTTTAGGAATTAATTTGAAATTGCAAATTAATTCCCCCCATATCTCAACCGAAATCTGAAATTCCAGATTTCGGCATCAGGGAGCCTCCCTCTACCGCCATCAGGGAGCCTCCCTCTACCGCCGGCCTTCCCCATCCACTCCTACCCGCCGCCCCTTTTCTCCCTCCATTGGAGAGCTTCTTGTGGCGATCGCCATTCCTACTTTCAAGAATGCATGGAGGAGCCCGAATGGAATTTCGGGTTTGAGTACGACCACAACGGAAGAGTCGACATTCTCCGTTCCCCTTTCTTTGATGCGGGATTCGACTTCGACGACACCCCGGAAGAGTACTTGGACCAGATCTTACCAACTCTCGTGGACTCTATAGACGATCACTTCTCCGTCTATACGTGGATCATCGAAGGCCGTCCATCCGCTCCTTCGAACCCGACTTCCAACCCGACGACAAGTCCTCTCAAAGTCACCTGTCTACTAGTGGCGTCGCTAAGCCTGCTCACGGTTCTCTTCCGCTAACCTCCACCTCAAATTGAGTGACGGATCCTAAGGTGAAGGGTCTAAATTTTAAATTTGGGGCTTTGGTATTTTAGCTATTTGCAATACTTGATGTTTTTGATGTTATTTTGAAAAGCTTTCAAATCTCGTACTGTGATTTCTTGTTGTTACTTAAGCATTCATATTTTAATTCTTGAACTTCAATTGATTACGCATAAAAGTTTTAGTAACAAGCTTGATCCAATTTATTATTTAATTTCAAGTGCAATTCTTATGTCATCACATGATAGTTTCACATCAGCTATTATGTAACTTGTTATTTGTAGATTAATGTGGAGGAAGATGACAAAGTTTTGGAGGTGTTACAAGAATATACGGAGATACGCAGGGAATTCTACAATAGGAGAAATGAAGTTTTGCTAACCATTGCAGACTTTTGGTTAACAGTGGTTAGCATTTTATTCATCTTATTCTGTTTTGACGTGGCTTTATACTACAGAGCTTTTTAAGAACATATATCTCTAATTTGTTTCCTGAAATTCTGAATGCTGCAGTTGATTAATCATCCAATACTTGGTGAGTTTTTAAGTGCGGAAGATCGAAAGGTATTATATCATTGCTTAAATTGGTCCTCAGTCAAACAAAGGTTGTACTAATCCCAATTAACGAGTAAATGCAATTTGCCAATTTCTACTGTTATGTAGATGAAAAACATATTTTAGAAATTGGTAAAAAAAATCATTCTTTTTGAGTGGGAAATTGAAATCATCAGTTTAGAGGGAAATTGAAGATATTTGTATTGTTTGAAATTGATAATGAATTATAATTATATCCAACCAAATAATGAAATATAGTAAATTCTTTTTTTTTAATAAAAATTATGTTTCTAACTAGAAACAACCAAGTGAAACTTTACTGTGACATCAGATCATAATATATATGAAACTTTGAGGCTACAGTAAATGCATGTGTGCACCTTTCCATCAAATAGGTACTGGAACTGAGAATAAATTTTCCATGTTTTTGGTGAGCAGATTCTTAGGTATTTGGTTTCATTAGATGTTGAAGAAGATCCAAAGCTAGGCTTCTCCATAACATTCGTGAGTGCCTAGCTTGTACTATGGCTAGTTAAAACATTGCTTAGTTGAATTGTTCTAATTATTATAGTTTCTATTTTTGGTGGTCAGAACTTCTCTCCTAACCCGTATTTTGAAAACAAGAAGTTGACGAAGACATTCAGCTTCCCTAATCTACCAACAGCTATCGTAACTGGAACAACAATTAATTGGAAGGAGGGATTGGTAAGTGCTGAACTTTCTAATTATAAGTGGACGGGTGGGGAGGTCATCATGCACTGTTCTAATCCATGCTTTTCCCAATGCTTCAACCATAATGCTAACAAATCTGCACATGAGGCAGGACAAGAAACTGGAAGTCATAAGGTGTCATTTTAATGCCTCTACTCTCTTTCCACCATCTTGCATTTCATCCTCTTTTTGCTAATGCATCAATCTTTCTAGTACTCGTTTCTGGTTTTCTGTGAAAATTTTAGTGCAGGTAAGTTTACACGGACGTACAGGACCCATCAGCTCGTGTTGCAAAACTAGTAATAATAATAAACATCGATTTGATTGTTAAACTCACGAATTAGAGCTAAAACAGCAAAATATAAGGCCAATTTAATCCAGTCAATTGACATCTCCATTCTAGTATAAATGGACAAGTTACTTAAAGAGGCAATCATTATATTTTAACATCTACAAAAAATGGCAGTTGAGGGGTTCAGCTCTCGCACGTATTGAGCGGTTTCAAAAAAAATCTACAATAATTTTTGTTATAAATGTTCTGAACTTGCTTGTGTAGATGAACTGTCGGTTTAACAAGAAGATATGGCCTATACATATGTATGTTCATGCGTACATGCATATTCAAGTCAAAATATGTGAAATTTTAATGATAAAAATTAATGAAGCGATTAAATTAGGTATGTTTAACTTATATATATATATATATTCGTTGTAACAAGATCACTATAATAACTCCATTAAATTTTATGTCATAGAATTCAACATTTAATCATGTTCAACCCTATACCTTTTATTCTACCCTTTACAAGGGACATCGACTCTTACATTTGTTAGATATTCATCACATGGTGAGTTAGGTTTTGGACTTCTTGCGTGAAAGTTTGAAAATGTGTTAGATAATTTTGTTAGGTTATTGAGTCAGTATCTTTGAATAAATCATAGGTGGGATATTTATCAAATTTATGCAAAAGCTTAAAAATGGGTTAGGTGATTTTGTATAAATTAGGTAGCTTTGCTTTTGATTTTGACTACATATGTAGATATAATGAAGTTTAATTGGCTTTGGAAGCATAAGAAAATGTTGCATTTGTTGAAGGAGTTAAAGAGGAATTGAGATCATAGAGAATAGAGAAGAGGAGAAAGGAAAATAGGAAATCACAAGAAATTCATTTTCTAAATTTTGAGGTATCATTTTTATATGCCAAGGTTGTGAAAACCGAATCTGACAACTAAAAGAGCTTAATACCTGTAGAACAACAAAGTAAAGATGGATAAAAGAATGAATTGTAAGGATAAAACTCTCTATCTATTTACTCTTTGTAGGATATATATAATAATAATAATAATAATAATAATAATAATAATAATAATAATAATTGAGCTTAGCTTAGTGGTGCAAATTATAAAGGCGGCATCTAGGGTTAACACAGACATCCAAACACTCAAAGGTTACATATGAAGGAGATTTATTGAATAAGTGTTGCTAGGGTGAGATATTATTGTTAGACTTTGAGGGTAGTCTATTAATAAGATTTGTTGCAACTAACTGTGTGTCCACCAAATAACAAGCAAGAAGGTTGGCATCAAAGATAAGAGCATGTTCTAGCAGGTGCTTGTTTTTTCGCTCGGTAATGCCATTTTGTTGGGGTCTGTACGGACATGTGAGTTTGTGCGTAATTCTGAAGGATTGTTAGCAATTTTCAAATTGTTTGTTAAGGTATTCACACGCCCCTGTCAAATTGGATAGCTTTTATAGAAGTTTGAAATTGATTATCAACAAGTTGTTTGAATTGAAGAAAGATGTGGAGAACATCGTATTTTAATTTAAGTGGAAATACCCAAGTATAACGAGTAAAATCATCTACAAATATGAGACAATATTTAAATTGTTGGGAAGATAAAATTGGGGATGGTCCCCATACATTTATATATATGATTTCAAGATATTTTGTAGTTTTAGAAGCAGCTGGAGCAAATTGTGGGCGGTGGATTTTGGCACGAGCACAAGAGTCACAATGAAATGAATGTGTCTTAAGACGGAGAGAATAGGAGATGGAATGAAGCACATCAATAGTTGGATAACTGAGTCTTTGATGCCAGGCGGGAGCGTTAGTAGAGACATTGAGAATTGCTACAGGAAATGTTGCAGGGGGGCGCTGGAGATGAAGAAGCAGTAAGTTTAATAGGGTATAGTCCTTGAAGATTGGGACCCCGAAGAAGAGTATGGTGCACCATTGAATCCTTGATGCTAAAACCATTAGTATCAAAAAGGAGATCACAAGCATTGTCATAAATTAGTCGATGAACAAAAAGCAAGTTGTGAGTGAGGTGGGGAACATGAAGAAGACGAGATAGGTGAAGCTTACGGGAGGGTTTAGGTAGGATGCCTTGTCCTGAATGAGCTATAGGAAGTTGAGTGCCATTGTTAATCTGAACCTGCGAAGTGCCTGTATAGGGTTGTATAGACTGAAGTTGAGATCACGCATTAGAAGTGAGGTGATTGGTTGCACCAAAGTCTAGAAATCAGTCCGTTGGAGGAGTATCTTCGTGAGCTAGGACAACGAATTGCAAGGATAAAACTCTCTGTCTATTTACTGTTTATAGGAGACATACATAGTAGATAATTGAGCTCAGCTCAGACGTACAGATTGAGTGACAGATATTAAATGATGTAAGTTTAAGCAGTACAAGCCGTTGTAAGCAGAGCAAGTGGAGCAATGCTTTATGCACATGAGCGTGAAACAGTAATCGCATATTACAGGTTGGTTATAACAACGAACCGAAAAAAGAAGAGGTTCATGATTCGACCGTTCGAACCGGTCTCGAACAGAATAACATAATAAATAATAATGTTATTAAAAACTAATAAAATTAGCTTCACCTCTACAACCATTTGACATCCGATGACTCTTATGAATTTCATTGAAACGTATTACCTTCACTCTAAATTCCATTTTCATATCAAAACATCTAAATATTTTCAAAATAATCCCTTTGCATCACTTCTAATTTGCTTAAATTTAAGAAACAATTTTGTGTCAAAAAAATTGAAATGATTGACCATTACTATTTTGGCATTCATTAAGCATATGTGATGGCTCCAAATATACTAATACTGCAACACAACAAATTTGTATTGACCTCTACATCAGCTTATAAGATTGCTTTGCTTCAATAATAACAGAGTTTCATATTTGGCGGGCATCAACTAAGTTTACAAAACATAAACAAATAACACATAATACAAATGTGAGATCAATTAAGTCTATAAACATAAACAAATATTTTACAAATAATTTAAGCATTATTTATAACTAATCTAATAAATGGAGAGTAAATAATAACGACAACACCACCAAACGACATACCTTGTGGCTCTAAGTTGCCGCACGAGGTGGTTTGGCCATCCTGTGGCTCCTTGTTTTCATACAAGATGAACAAACGACATTGCATTGGGCGATGATTGCATACCGGTGTCGGAGAAGGAATGTCCAAAAATCAAAAACGAAATTAAGGTCTTACGGGTGCCGAGCGGAGAAGGAATATAGCGCATGAGGAACTTCGTTGACCAACTAGGAAGTAATAGTGCATGTGCTGATAGGTACTTCGCCGGTTTGAGCCTTGTTGCCGCTCTTCAAGCTCGCCAATCTTCCGAGGAAGTGGGAATACCGAGTGGAGAAGGAATAGCATGGGATTAGGTCACAATGCACGAAAGAAATTTAGGGCTTTTGGCTCAGGATTGAGATTGAATAGAAGTTTATGTTTTATTTAGATCTGAACCATGTGATCACAATCATAGGATGAGATCTTTATCAAATTTAGGCAAAAGCTTAAAAATGGGTTAGGTGATTTTGTATAAATTAAGTAGCTTTGCTTTTGATTGTGACTACATATGTACATATAATGAAGTTTAATTGGTTTTGGAAGCATAAGAAAATCTTGCATTTGTTGAAGGAGTTAAGAGGAATCGAGATCATAGAGAGTAGAGAAAAGGAGAAAGGAAAAATAGGACATCACAGGAAATTCATTTTCAAATTTTGAGGTATCATCTCTATATACCAAGGTTATGAAATCGGACCGGACAACGAATCGAAAGGAGAGGTTCACGGTTTAACCGGGTCGAACCAGGGTTGAACATGATGATGTAGTAAATAATAATGTTATTAAAAATTAATAAAATAAGCTTCATATTCGCAGTCATTTAACATTCTACGACTCTTATGGATTTCATTGAAACTTATTACCTTCACTCTAAATTCCATTTTCATATCAAAACACCTAAATGTTTTCAAAATAATTCCTTTGCATTTCTTCTAATTCTATTTTGATATTTATTAAGCATATGTGGCAACTCAAAATAGACTAATGCTGCAACACAACAAAATTGTATTGACTTCAACATCAGCCTATAAGATTGATTTACTTCAATAATAACATAGTTTCATATTTGGTGGATATCAACTAAGTCTACAAAATATAAACAAATAACACATAACACAAATATTGTATCATTTAAGTCTATACAACATAAACAAATATTTCACAAATAACTTAACCATAATTTATAACTAATCTAATAAATGGAGACTAACTGTAATAACAACAACACCACCAAACGACATATCTTGCGGCTCCAAGTTCACCCACGAGGTGGTCTGGCCATCCTTCGGCTCCCAGTTCTTACAAAGTATTATCAAACAATATTACATTGGGCGAGGATTGCATACTGGTGTCGAGCGGAGAAGGAATGTCCAAAAATCAAAAATGAAAATGAGGTCTTATGAGTGTTGAATGGAGAAGGAATGTAGCACGGGAAGAACTTCGCCGACCGACCAGGAAGGAATCGTGCATGTGTTGGAAGCTACTTCGCTAGTTCGAGCCATGTAGTTGTTCCTCGAGCTCGCCAACTAGTCAAGGAAGTGGGAATACTGAGCGGAGAAGGAATAGCATGGGAGTAGGTCACAATGCATGAAAGAAAATTAGGGCCTTGGCTCGAGATTGAGATTAAATATTTTGTGCATTCAGGAAACTAAATGGGTTGGAGATAAGGCTAAGGAAATTGATAGTTTAGGATTTAAACTTTGGTATTCGGGTAGGAGTCGTACTAGAAATGGTGTAGGTGTTATTATAGATAA